TGCCTCCATTCTTTTTCTGAGGTCCTGGATCATCTTCACTATCATTATTCTGAATTCTTTTTCTGGAAGGTAGCCTATCTCCACTTCATTTAGTTGTTTTTCTGGGGTTTTATCTTGTTCCTTCATCTGGTACATAGCCCTCTGCCTTTTCATCGTCTATCTTTCTGTGAATGTGTTTTTTTCCCCACAGGCTGCAGGATTTGGCTATGTTTTTTAAAAAATAAGTTTTATCATCAAACTACACAGGTGCAAAATTAGAATTTGACTTTTCCCTCTGTTAAAAAGACAAAGTTGTCTTTGATTGTTGGTGTGCTCTTTAAAGAACTAGTTGTTGTTTTTGTTTTGTTTTTGTTTTTGTTTTGTTTTGTTTTTTTTGCAGTACGCGGGCCTTACCGCTGCGGCCCCTCCCGTTGCGGAGCGCAGGCTCAGCAGCCATGGCTCACAGGCCCAGCCGCTCCGCGGCATGTGGGATCCTCCCAGACTAGGGCACGAACCCACGTCCCCTGCATCAGCAGGCGGACTCTCAACCACTGTGCCACCAGGGAAGCCCTGTTTGTTTTAATTAATCTGCCTGGACAGCAAAAATCTTGTGTGTTACCAAAATATCTGACTCTGCTTCATGTTGTATTTATCAGGTCTCTTCTTACTTAACAAAACCCAGTCTTCTCAACATAAGGAGCACTAACTTTTGTTTACCTTCTCTATTTGCATTTAATATCTGGTACTGTCACTTTGATGCATTATTATATCATAATGATTTGTGATCCTATTTAATCAAATGTTTGATCCTTTGACATTCTCTTAAAATCAGATTACTAAATAAGAGTCTTTTTGACCTCATAGTAAACTTTGAGGTTTCCCAGAGGGCTCCTGGAAAATCTCAAAGGATTTGCTTCTCACCTTGTGAAACATAGATGTTAGATTACATTTTTAAGTCTTTTGTCATTTACAGATAGTTACTGTTTTACTCAGATGCTTTTGCAAAATTGAGATTCACAGAAAGGACCCTATCAAGGACTCTTGACCACTGACACTGCTGCCGAGTTACAAGGTGTTGAACCTCGGGTATTTCACAGCTGAAAAATACTCCGCCGGACATCTGGCCCCCTGCAAATGCTGGAGACCTCAAATCAAACCGACCAGGAAGAGGAGCAGCTGACATCACGGTAGGATGCTTCTTCCCAAGACGTCAGATCAAGAGGATTGAGAACCTTTCTTTCCACATTTCTTTCCATTCCTCCTTCCCTCGCTGACCATCCTTTTCCTAACTCCTACCCCATGAAGGCTTTTCTGATTCTTCTATTCACCTTTTGCTTTGCTCTGGCCTGGAAAGAGAATGCCATTGTCTCAGGCCATCACCAAGGTGGGTAATCAGACCTCCAAGTAACTGCTGGACTTGCCAAGAGGCTGATGATCAGGTAGTTCTGTCCATCACAAACTTCGCCCTGATTCCCAAAGTGACAGTTTCTCTGGAAGAAACTCAGCCTTCTCTCTATCATATCAGGACCCTGGGTCCACTTCCCCACCTCTGGTTAGCAACCCCAAACCCAGGGAATATTGCATCCAGGCTAAAGAAGGGACACGAGACAAGGGTAACCAGAAGAAAACCACCTGTGCAGCCTGCAGATCCTGAAATTTTACTGGCCTTCCTGGCTGTCACCTTTCCACTCCTAAGCCACAGACTCAAGCCAAAATTACCAGAAGGCATTCATGATTCAAAATTCACTTCCCTCAGCAAATCTCCACTTTCTTGGCTAGGAGAAAGTGCAAGTGAGGCTAGATCAAGGACCTCTCCTTAACTCTCAAGGATACTGCAGAATCTGCTGCTAAAGCAAGAGCTGCCCAGCAAAAAAATCCCCAGGCTCTCTGGCCAAAGTTGTTCTTGATAATAGGATAGCTTGTGGTTACCTTTTAGCTGAGCAATGAGGTATCTGTGCTGTGGCCAACACCACCTGCTGCACCTGGATTGACACTTCTGGGGACATGGAAATTCAGCTCCGTAAGATCACTGAACAAGCCACATGGCTTAAGAAAATGATTCCTTCAATAGGCTCTTTCTTTGACTTACTTGACTTTGATTGCCTAGGGTCTTAGGGACCCCAGACATGGGATGATCCTGCTTGGAATAATCATAGTAGCCACCCCGGTGCACTGGATTCTCTCAAAAGCGTTCAATGCATGTTTATAGCCGCTAACCACCGAGCAAATGATCTCCCTAAGACTGGAACATCAGAAAAGGACAAAAAGAACAACCAGCTTAAAGAATGTGAACCCACACGGACTCAGCAAAAGCTGTGAGAGCTCCAGAGCAGTAGCTGGGAGTAGGGCCAATGCCTGAAATCTTGATCACAATTCTCAGGCTAAGTCTGATTAAAAGGGGATAATTGTTAAAAGACAAAATAATGGGCCCAAAATGGAGTCCCCTAAACCAACGGCCCCCAACGTTTGTGGCACCAGGGACCAGTTTCATGGAAGACAATTCTTCCATGGGCGGCGGGGGGGTGGAGGGGGTGGGCAGCAGTTTTGGGATGATTCAAAAGCATTACATTTCTATTATTACATTGTAAAATATAATGAAATAATTTATACAACTCACCATAATGCAGAATCAGTGGGAGCCCTGAACTTGTTTTCACTTGCCACTCACTAATAGGGTTTTGATATGAGTCTGCAAGCGATTGATTTATTATGCTCTCTGTGCAGTCAAACCTCTCTGCTGATGATAATCTATATTTGCAGCCGCTCCCCAGACCTAGCATCACCACCTCAGCTCTACCTCAGATCATCAGGCATTAGATTCTCATAAAGAGCTGCACCCTAGGTCCCTCACATGTGCAGCTCATGGTAGGGTTCACGCTCCTATGAGAATCTAATGCCACTGCTGATCTGACAGAAGGTGGAGCTCAGGCGGTAATGTGAGTGATAGGGAGTGGCTGTAAATACAGATGAAGCTTCGCTTGCCCGCCGCTCATCTCCTGCTGTGCATCCCAGTTCCTAGGTCTGTGGCCCGGGGTTGGGGACCCCTGCCCTAAACAAAGCCCCCACGTCACCAGACTGAGACTAAATCATAGTTTTCACTTCCCCAGAACTGGAACCTGAAACTGTCAACCGGGAGTCACGTGATCAGCACCAGGACAGTGATCTGCCTGACCCCTGCCGTCCCCTACAGGAAAGTGACCTGGCCATGACGAACCTTTCTGCCAAATCAGGCCAGCTGACCTGTGCGTCGGCTGGAAGGACAGAGCTCACCTCCCACTGGAACCAGGGTATTGTTCACAGAAGCAGCTGCAGATCCAGGCCAGCTCAGCACGAGCCAGTGTGGAGGAGGAGTCCTTATGGCGGCAAAGCCTGCTGACCAGCAAGTGGGCGTTGACTCTGCTGAGGTGAGGGATGCAGTGTGAGTTGACACACAAGGTTCTGTGCGCTCCTGGACCTTGAAAGAGTATCAAATCAACTCCTTGCCAGCCACAGGGCACTCAGTTATTTCAAAGAAAGAACAGGTACGAAAAACGGAATTTTTTTTTCCTCAAATGGCTGTTGAATTTATTTGCTTGATCAATAATGGTCCTGGCAAAAATCAGTTAACCAACACTGAGACAACTGTGATGAAATACTAATTTTAAAAATTCATGACACTTTGATAGAAATTAGAGTTTAAACACAAAAGAATCCCTTCAATATTGCCAGCAAATATAAAATGAATGTAACATGACCGACAGGACGGCAAGAACGCTTTTATACACTTATATTTGACACCTGACCGTATTTTCAGTCACCGTAATATCTTCTCTCCAGATTTAAAAAAATAGTATGCTGATTTCTATAACAAAGCTTTTTTCGTACAAAAATCAAATAATGGCCAACAAGTCACAACAGTGCAATAGGTAGAGAATAAAAAACAGCATTAAACAGGTGCTGAAAATAAATACTAACCAGGAGGAGAGGACAGAGCCCTCGGGGGCAGGGGGTGTTTCCATCACCTTGAGTGTGTGGGGTTTGTCTTCACAGCCGTGAGAGCTGACAACCTCATGGAGCCACTTATTTGGACACAGCAGGACTGGACTGAGTGCCTATGAGCTGGCCTCCCAGACACCTCAGGTTGCCAGAGACGTGATGGGGTCAGGACTACGGCTGACTCCAGAGGAAAGCCATTTCCTATAGCTCAGCCTGGTCAACTGGGCACCCAGCAGCAGTTCACCCGGCCCCTGTGGACACTGACATCTGAAATCTTGTGTAAGAGCATAGCTACCCATCCGTATGGCTTATTCAGGCAAAGAGATGCTTACATTCTAGCCCAAGCAAGCAACCCACGACGTTCTGTTCTAGTGGCAGGTTGGAGAAACAAATCCTCTGTGTGGGTGCCCCAGGTCCGGGCAGCCGCTCCCATGACCCAGCGACAAGCATCTGCTGATCCCAGGCAACAGGAGCCGGGTGGCTGTGGTGACCCTGGCCGGCAGGCAGGCTCCGGAGCAGCTGTGTCTGTGGCTGCACAGGCTGCTGTGGTGACTTGGGCCCGGGGTGTGGGGCAGGGAAGGTCACCCCCGTGAGAGCCACTCGGGCCAATCGGGAAACGTGAGGCGGCTCCCAGGACAGAATCTGCACCACGGAGGCGTGAAGGCACAGGCGAGAATGGCGGGCAGCGGAGACCCTGGAAGGGGACACGGCGCGGGCAGGAGTGGGGCTGCCTTGTTTGGTTCCCCCTTGAACGAGAGAAAAATCCTGATTCTGCCGTAATAAAAAGGAAAGAAAGACGATTTTTGGTTTAAAAAGAAGCCACTCAAGGGTTAAAATAGTTATTTTAACAAAGGAAATTAATCTTCAAAGAAGCTGACACTAGCTGGAAACTCATCTATGCCCGACAAGCCCGCACCGCGTGCCGCTCTGTCCTCGTGTCACCTGCGGTGAGCACCTCCCACGTGGAGGAGGCGTCTTTACAGTGGGGACAGCGGAGGTGGCGCTGACAGGGCTCCAGGCCACTGCTCCGGGCGGGCGGGTGGCGCTCAGATGGGCGTTTCCTTCCTGTCCCTGCCGGGCGAAGGCCGAGGCTGCTCCTTGCCGCTCGGGGGCGGCTCCCTGGCGATGGGCTCGGACTCGGCCTGGGGCTCAGGCCGGGCGCGCTGCAGCTGGAGCAGGCGGAGCTGCACCCGCAGCTCGATGATGGCCTCACGCTCCTCGTGAATCGCCTGGTTCAGGTGGTTGTTCTTGATCTTGAGGGACAGGGACAACAGTGCTCACGTCAGCAAAAAGGCTGTGGACAACTCCCGCTGATCACAGAAACCTGGCGCCACACCGGAGCTACCCGCCCTCGGTACGCGAAGTCCAGGTGACGCCCCACCCCGCAGACCTCCCTTCTCCAGCAGGGGCGGCTGCTCAGCCCTGCTCGCTCAGCGCCCTTCCCGGGGCCCGTCCCTTCCTTTCCTGCCCACTCCAAGCGGCCCTGTGCCGACCTGGGCGGCAGCCAGATGGGGCGGGGGCCCTTGTTCAGACCAGGGGGCTGTTCCCTTCGTCGCAGCAGCCTGACCTACAGCCCGAGCACTGAAGTTCTGGAGGACCGTTTTCCTACTCAGCGTGTTCGTATGCTCTGTAAAATGCTAAGCAGGACGAGGTGCTGCCAGCTGGCCCATCTCCCACGGCCCCCTGGCCTCGGCCCACGGCTCTGGGGAGAGGACTCCCGAGCTGGGATCTGGTGTGGAATTGCTGGTCTGTCCTGGCACCTGCCTGAGGGAGGGGAAGCTGCCCACGGCCCTCGGTCTCCTCTGTGAGGAGGGGAGGGTGAGAAGGGAGACTGGTCAGCGTGCTGCCGGCTCCCCACACCGTGTATGCCCTGCACGCTCCCGGTGGGACACCCCCCCTCCTCGGACTGCCCGTCGGTCACCAAGGGCAAGCAGAACACGTCTGCCGGGAGCCCCGCGCTTGCCACGACCTCAGTGCAGCCTCGGGTCCCCCGCGCCCACCTCCAGCTCCTCGTTCTGCCGCTGCAGGTCCTGCAGGATGAGCTGCAGCTCGTCCTCGTCCTCGCTCTCGCTCTCGCTCTCCGATGAGTACTCCTCGGTCTCGCTGCGGCCGTGCTGCTGGCGGCTGCGCAGGGGCGGGGACAGGGCGGGAAGCGCGTTACCAGCCAGCAGAGACAGGCCCGTCGTCTGCCTCTAGACTGACCAGCTTTCCATGGCTGCACTCGATACTGCACCGTCCTTAAGACTTAATAAAGAAGAAACTGAAGGGTCACTGACGCCTCCACACGGAAGGCTGAGCACTGGCCACCTGTGCTCACGCCGCAGTCGGCATCCCTGGAAACCAGCCCGCGGCTCTCCCTCACCTCTGGATCTCGGCGATCTCCGCTCGGAGGCGTTCCATCTCTTCTTTCTCCGAGGCGATCTGTCGGCGCAGGAACTGCTCCATGGCCAGGAGCTCCTCCTGTTCAGTCAGGATCTCATTCTCCTAAATAATGACCACTGGTGAACACCTTGAAGAGTCTGAGTCTAGGAAATGTTGCTCTTTTGGGGTCTCCTGTCACCCTGAATTGTTTCACCCCATACACTAACACACAAGTTATGGGAAAGCTTGTTGTACTGCACACCCAAAAAATACCCCATTTCCCTAATGTCAAGAAAAGGCTTCTTTGAGAAAAGGTAGACTAAGTTGTTTGGGAGGAATGACTAGATTTTTCTCAAGATTTATAAAACACCACTTAGGAATCCTTCTTTTGCAAAGGCTCTGCATGCCGCCAGCACACTGGGCACAAAGCAAAGTTCAAGTGACTCCGTGTGTTTTTGCTTCCCAGTCCTTTCTGAATGCCTTCCCACTAGAGAAGCTATTTTAGGGCCACAGTGGGCTTTGACAGTGTTACTAGGAAAGAAGGACCCAGGAGATGAGAAGCTGGTATCAGCATCACCTGAAAGTAGATCTAGTGATGGAAAGATGTTCACAGAAGGAGTTTATCCTCACCACAAGCCACCATCCTCCTCAACCCATGTCCCCAGAGATAATCCTTTAACAGAATACGCATTTCTAAAACTTATTAGCTCACCTAAGGGGATAAGTCCCTATCTGCCCAAGATCTAGCTAGCCCTTTCAACCTACTGAAAAGAACCAAAGCAGACAAAACTTGGGAGGTAACAGAGATGGAAAGCTACGGAAATGAGCTGGAGGCAGCAAAGGTCTACAGCATTTTTTCCCAAACTAACAGGTAGCGAGAGGATAAGAACCTGTGATCAAATGTGAAAGGCGCTAGGGTCAAATTCTAAAGTCAGCTACCCAAAGCCTCCCATGTGCATAAAGAATCTCTCTCGGAGATGTGATATCCATATTCCCCAGGTGTTTCCAAACGCAGAGAGGCTCATCCTTTACCTCAGTGCACTTAGGAGAGCTACTGTTCCAAGAAATACCAGATTGAAAACTCTGAAATAAAAACGTATTTGGGACTTGATTCTCTCTTCAGGGGAGAAGAGTTACGCGTCCCTGCAGGCAAAACAATGTATTTTCAGAAGTGACAAAAAAGGATTGAAACTTGTAGGGCTTTAGGTATCCCACATACGTGAGTTTCTGGGAGCACTGACTATGCTGTCAGAGCCTAAAACTTCATTCCTTTCTGGTTAAACTCTGGGAATTTCCAGAACAGAGTAAGGTTGAGTGAGAAATTCAGAAAGAAAAGAGCTCTTCTTGAGCTCTCTGCCTGGAAATACAGTAGAAACTCAAGAGCTGTCTGCCACATCGATTAATGAATAATCAAACAATTCATCTCCAACAACTGACTTTCACCTGCAAAGAATAAAATATCTAAAAGGTGTTATTAGCAACGACTATCAGCTAAAATCTGTTACATTTCAAGGATCTCAAACTTTGTGACATCAGGAAGAACAAATTTTAAAATAATGAAGTCCAATCTCATTAATATGGAACAACTACACTAAGTTGTAAATTAGAGGAAATACCTATAACTCAAGACCTGTGTGTGAGTGAAATGAGATGAAATAAAACATCTAGAACAGTCTCCAGTAAGAAGCAATCACTCAGTACAAAAGGTAGTTTCTTCCTCCAGCTGAATATTTATGCAAACACCACATAAAGGTAGGGCCAAATACAACAAGTAAGCCCCTCTAAAACCTCTAAATCTTCTCATAAGTTTGGTTAGAAGATTCATACCTCTGTAGTTGAGCTTCTCAAATTATAATATAAAATGACCATCAGCAGTCTGGCAACACACTCCTGAACAACCAATGGGTCAAAGAAGAAATCAAATATTATCTTGAGACAAATGCAAATGGAAGCACAACATACCAAAACTTAAGGGATGCAGAAAAAGCAGTTTGAAGACAGTTATAGTGCCAAATGCCTACACTAAGAAAAAAGATTTCAAACAGTGTATAACTCAAGGAACTAGAGAACTAAACCTAAAATTAGCAAAAAGAAGAAAATACTAAAATCAGAGCAAAAATAAATGAAATGGAGACAAGAAAAGCAATACCAAAGGTCAATGAAATGAAGAATTGGTTTTTTAAAAGATAAACAAAATTGACAAACCTTTACCTAGATTTGGAGGGGACTTAAATAAAATTATAAATGAAAGGGGAAACATTACAACTGATACCACAGAAATACAGAGAATTATAAGATACTACTATGATGCCATCAAACTAGATAACCTAGAAAAAATGGTTTTTTTGTTGTTGTTGTTGTTGTTTTGATTCCCTCTATTTGCCATTTCTTCCTGGGTAAGTTCTTAGAGGCATTAAAACCCACCAAGACTGAATCATGAAGAAACAGAAAATCTGAACAGACCAATAACGAGTAAAAAGATTGACCCAGTAGTGAAAAACCTCCCAACCAAGAAAAGAGCAGAACCAGATAGCTTCATGGGTGAATTCTACCAAACATTTAAAGAAGAATTAACACCAATCCTTCTCAAGCTCTTCTGGACAATGGAAGAGGCAGGAACATTCCCAAACACAATTTACGAGGCCAGCATCACCCTCGTGCCAGAGCCAGATTACAGACACCACAAGAAAAGAAAGAGGCCACTATCCCTGATGCACACACATGCAAAAGTCCTCAAAAAACATGCTAACAAACCAGATTCAACAATACATTAAAAAGATCATACACCACGATCAGGTGGGATTTATCTCTGGGATACAAGGATGGTTCAACATAACACAAACCAATAATGTGATATACCACATTAACAAAATGAGGGATAAAAATAGTATTGTCTCAAAAGATTCAAAAAAGCATTTGACAAGATTCAACATCCTTTCATAATAAAAACTCTCAACAAAGTGAGTATAGAAGGAACATACACAGTGACCTGATATGCTCATATGACAGGCCCACAGATAACATTATACCCCAGTGAAAGGCTGAAAGCATTTCTTCTAAGATCAGAAAAAAGACAAGATGCCCATTCTGTTCAATATAGTACTGAAGTCCTAGCCAGAGTAATTAAACAAGACATAAAAGGTATCCAAACTGTAGAGAATTAAAATTGACTGTCTGCAGATGACATGATCTTATACACAGAAAACCATAAAGATTCCACCAAATAAGTGTCAGAACTAATAAATTTAATAAAGTTGCAGAATACAAAATCAACATACAAATATCAGTTGCATTTCTATATGCTAACAATCATCTGAAAAAGAAATTAAGAAAACAATTCCATTTACAATAGTATAAAAAAAAGGCAATAAATTTAGATACCCCATGGTCATGGATTGGAGGAAATAATGTTAAAATTTCCATACTACCAAAGTGATCTACAGATTCATTGGAATCTCTATCAAAATTCCAATGGAGTTTCTCACAGAAATAAAAAAACAACCCTATAATTCATACAGAACCACAAAAGACTGTAATAAATAGCCAAAGCAATCTCTCTCTCTCTCCCATTTTTTTAGCCAAAGCAATTAAACAAGATGAACAAAGTTGGAGGCATCATCCTACAATCAAAACAGTGTGGTACTGGCATAAAAAAACAGACATATACACCAATGGAGCAGAACTGAGTCCAGAAATAAATCCACACATTTGTGGTCAACTGATCTTTGACAAGGATGCTACTACACAATGGAGAAGGGACGACAGGCTCTTTAATAAATGGTGTTGAGAAACTGGTTTTCCGCATGCAAAAGAGTGAAAATGAATCCTTACCTTATCTCACTCCATACACAGTAATCACCTCAAAATGGAGTAAAGACTTAAATATAAGACCTGAAACCATAAAACTATTAGAAGAAAACACAGGGAGAAAGTTTCTTGGCATTGAGTCTGAACAATAATTTTTTAGATATGACCCCAAAAGCACAAATATACAATAGACAAATGGGACTGCATCAAACTAAAAAGCTCCCACATAGCAAAGGCAACAAAGGAGTGAAGAGACAACCTATGGAATGAGAGAAAATATTTGCAAACCCTACATCTGATAAGGAGTTAACATACATATAAAGAACTCAAACAACTCAACAGTAAGAAAACAAACAACCCAATTAAAAAATGGGCAAAGGACCTAAATAAACATTTCTCAAAAGAAGACATACAAATGGCCAGATATATGAAAAGATGCCCAGTGTCACTGATCATCTGGGAAAAGCAAATCAAAACCACAATGAGATAACACCTTCCACCTGTCATAATGGCTTTTAACAAAAAACAAAAGATAACAAGTGCTGGCGAGGATGTGGAGCAAGGAAACCCTTGTGCTGTTTTAGTGGGAAGGTAAATTGATGCAGCCACTATGGAAAACAGTATGGAGGTTCCTCCAAAAATACAAAATAGAACTCTCACATGATCTAGCAATCCCACTTCTGGATATATACCCAAAGTAAATGAAAACAGGATATTGAAGAAATATCTGCACCCCCATGTTCACTGCATTATTCACAATAGTCAAAATATGAAAACTACCAAATGGTCAATGGATCAATGAATAAAGATGTGATATATATATATATATATATATATATACATATATATATATATTTATAATACACGTGTACACACACACACACACACACACACACATAAACATATATAAAAAACATATAGGGACTTCCCTGGTGGTCCAGTGGTTAAGAATCCATCTCGCAATGTTGGGGATGCCAGTTCGATCCCTGGTTGGGGAACTAAGATCCCACATGCCACAGGGCAACTAAGCCCACGCGCCATAACTAGAGAGAAGCCCGCGCACGCACTGCAACGAAGCGAAGAGCCCAAGCGCCGCAATGAAAAATCCCGCGTGCCACAACTAAGACCCGACACAGTCAAAAAAACAAATAAATATTTAAAAAATAAAACATGTAAACACATACATATACACACACCATGAATATTAATCAGACATAAGAAGGCAATCCTGCCATTTAATACAGCATAGATCAACCTGGAGGACATCAGGCTAAGTGAAATAAGCCAGACAGAAAAAGACAAATACTGTACGATCTCACTCATTTGTGGAATCTAAGAAAAAGTCGAGTTCATAGAAGCAGAGAGTCGAACAGTGGTTAACAGGGGCTGGAGGGTGGGGAAAATAGGGAGGTATTGGTCCAAAAATACCAAGTGCACTTAATGTTGAATGACTAAGTCTAGAGATCTAATAATGATGATGATAGTTAATGATACTGTACTGAATACTGGAAATATACTAAGAGTAGACTTCAGGTGCTCTCATCACAAAAGAAAGGTAACTGTGTGAGAGGATAATGTTAATTAGCTTGATTGCAGTAATCATTTCACTATGTAGAGGTGTATCAAATCATCATGTTGTACACCTTAAATATACACAATTTTTTTTTTTTTAAAAAGAATCTTACAAAATAGAGAAAAAGAGTTTAGCTTACCTGGGCAAGAAGAATATTTATGACTTCCTCATTTTCATTCATTTCTTCTTTGGAAACATCCTCTTTTGAAAGACTGGCTATCTCTTGTGCAATCTTGGTTTCACACTCCTGACAAGTGAGAGAAATGAAAAGCACTGGTCAGCCTACTGTTAACACATTCAACAAATTCACACCATCACCAGTCCAGAAGTTTCCTTCTCACCTCCTAGAACTGAAAAAATAAGAGTGACACAGTCAGCTGAACCATCTGGACATATGGGCATCTGCTAACTGGGCTTTGAAAATAATGTGTGGATCTCAGTCTGTGGCTGCACTGGAAGAAAAATGTTCCAATTTTAATGTGCTCACCATTTCCGGAACGCTCCCACATAAATTACCTTCTGTAATACTTTTTTTTCTTTGGAGGGGGTTGATTTTAAGCATATAGTTCAACTGGTTTTGACGACTGTATACAGTCAAGTAACCACCGTCACAATCACGACACTGAACATCTCCATCACCACGAAGTGCCGTTGGGCTCTTCCATCATCTGCTGCCCCGGCAGCCACTAACCTGCTTTCCACTGCTCTGGTTTTGTCTTTTCTTATGTTTCATATAAACTGAATTAATCAGTAAGTAGTCTTTTTTATCTGGCACACTGCTAATTTTGATTCGTCTATTTTGTCGTTTGTATCAGTAGTTTACTGAGTAATATGCCATGATGTGAATGTACCCCAATTTGTTCATCCATTCACCAGCTGATGGACATTTTGGTCCTTTCTAGTTTTGAGCAATTTTAACAAGACCTGTTATGAACACTGTGTATTTGCTTTGTGTGGGTATATGCCTTCTTCTGTTAGATAAATACCTAGGAGTGGGATTGCTGGGTCAGATGGTAACCTCATGCTTAACTTTAAAAGAAAATGCCAACTGTTTTCCAAAATGATTGAACCAAGAGCAATACAGGAGAGTTCCAGCTGCTCTACATTCTTGTCAACACTTGGTATTTTTAATTTTAGTCATTCTGGTTGGTGTGTAGTAGTATCTCGTGATTTTAAGTTGTATTTCCTTAATGACTAATGATGTTCAGCATCTTCACATTTGCTTATTTACCATCCATATATAATCTTCAGTAAAGTGCCTGTTCAAATTTTTGCCTTTTTAGAATTGAATTGTTATTGTAACAAATGTACCACTCTGGCAGGAGATGCTGATAATGAGGGAGGCTCAGCATGAGGGGGGAAGGGGTATCTCTGTACCTTTCCCTCAATTCTGCTATGAACCTAAAACTGTTCTAAAAAAATAAAGTTTAAAAAAAATTCGTTTGTCTTGAGAGTTTTTTATACATACTTGTTCATAGTTCAAGTCCTTTATCAATTGTGTTTTTTGCAACTACTTTGTCAAAGTCTCTGGCTTGCATATTCATCTTCTTAATATCTTTTGAAGAGCATGTTTTGATGAAATGTAATTTACCAAACTTTTCTTTCATAGTTCAAGGACCTTGTGTCCTATTTAAGAAATCACTCAAACAGCTCATACAACTCAGTAACAAAAAAACAAAAAACCCAATCAAAAATGGGCAGAAGGGCTTCCCTGGTGGCGCAGTGGTTGAGAGTCCGCCTGCCGATGCAGGGGACACGGGTTCGTGCCCCGGTCCGGGAAGATCCCACATGCTGCGGAGCGGCTAGGCCTGTGAGCCATGGCCACTGAGCCTGCGCATGTGGAGCCTGTGCTCCGCAATGGGAGAGGCCACAACAGTGAGAGGCCCGCGTACCGCAAAAGAAAAAATAATGGGCAGAAGACCTAAATAGACATTTCTCCAAGGAAGAAATACAGATGGCCAACAGGCACATGAAAAGATGAAATCATCATCACTAATTATTAGAGAAATGCAAATTAAAACTACAATGAGGTACCACCTCACACTGGTCAGAATGGCCATCATTAAAAAGCCTACAAATAATAAATGTTGGAGAAGGTGTGGAGCGAAGGGAATCCCCCTACACTGTTGGTGGGAATGTAAATTGGTGCAGGTTCCTCAAAACACTGAAAAATAGAGTTGCCATATGATCCAGCAATCCCACTCCTGGGCATATATCCAGACAAAACTATAATTCGAAAAGATACACCCCTATGTTCACAGCAGCACTATTCACAATAGCCAAGACATGGAAACTACCTAAAAGTCCATCAACAGATGGATAAAGATGATGTGGTATATATATAAAGGAATATTACTCAGCCATAAAAAAAGCCATTTGCAGCTACATGGATAGACCTAGAGATTATCATACTAAGTGAAGTAAGCCAGAAAGAGAAAGACAAATACCATATATATCACTTATATGTGGAATCTAAAACATGACTCAAATAAACTTATCTACGAAACTGAAACAGACTCACAGACATAAAGAACAGACTTGTGGTTGCCAAGGGGGAGAGGAGTAGGAGAGGGATGATGGATTAGGAGTGTGGGATTAGCCGATGCAAACTAGTATATATATAGGATAGATAAACAACAGGGTCCTACTGTATAGCACAGGGAACTATATTCAATATCCTGTGAAAAACCATATGGAAAAGAATATGAAAAAGAATATATATACGTATAACTGAGGTACTTTGCTGTACAGCAGAAATTGACACAACACTAAATCAACCATACTGCAATAAAGTTAAAAAAAAAAAATCACTGCCTAAGCCAAAGTCAGTAAGATCTTCTCCTCTGTTTACTTCTGGAAGTTTTTTTAGGTCTTAGTGTATGATTCATTTGGAGCTAATTTTTGTATATGTTGTGTGGAAAGAGGGAAAAAGTCAGGTTCTTCTTTTTTTTGCATATAAATATCCAATTGTTCCAGCACCATTTGTTGAAAAGAAAAACCTTCCCTAGTCAATTGTCTTAGCATCTTCGTTGAAAATTAACTGCCCACACATGTATTGGTCTATTTCTGGACTTTCTTTTCTATATATCTATCCTTATCCAATATCGACTGTCTTGATTACTATAGCTTTACAGTAAGTCTTAGTATCAGGTAGTGTGAGCCCTCCAATGTTGTCCTTTTCCAAAACTGTTTAGGCTATTCTAGGTCATTTGTATTTCCACAGAGATTTTAGAAGAGCTTGTTAATTTCTACCAAAAGTACCTGTTTAGATTTTGATTGGAATTAAATCCACAGATCAATTTGTAAAAACCTAACATCTTAACAATATTGAGATATAAATATATTTTCAATTTATTTATGTCTTTTTCTTTAGGTTCACTATCCAATAGTTCATTGCGAATATACAGAAATACAACAGACTTGTACATCTGATCCTGTATGCTACAATGTTGCTAAAGTCATTCGATTTTGTACAGACTCCTTAGGATTTTATATAGAGACAATCACATCATCTACGTATAAAGACTGATTTCTCTCCAATCCGTATGCCTTTTTTTCTTGTTTTAGTGCACTGGCTAGAAGGACCTCCAGTACAATGTTGAATAGAAGTGGTAAAAGCAGAAATCCTTGCTTGTATACCGAATCTTAGAGGAAAGCATTCAGACTTTCACCATTAAGCACAATGTAAATCAGAGATTTTTTCTGTTAAGTGCCCTTTATCGGGCTGAAAGGCAGTGACTGCGAGTTTCTGTCACGAGTTAAGTGTCAAATTCTTCCAAATGCTTTCTCTGCATCTACTGACATGATCTTGTGCTTTCTCTTTTTTTTTTTTTTTTTTTTTTGTAAGTAAATGGAATTCCTTTGAGAATGCTTTGTTATATGGGGCAGGCAGGAGTAATAAAAGCACTTCAAAATGTAATTTTTTGCTCCGGACGCGCAGGCTCAGCGGCCATGGCTCACGGGCACAGCCGCTCCGCGGCACGTGGGATCCTCCCGGACCGGGGCACAAGCCCGTGTCCCCTGCATCGGCAGGCGGACTCTCAACGCTGACACCCAACCACTGCAACACCAGGGAAGCCCTGCTTTCTTATTTTTAGTCTGTTAATATAATGAGTTATATTACTTCTATCTTTAAAAGTCATTTATTCCTCAAAGTTGAAATCAACTTGATGGAACCTTTGGAGCACTTTGTGAATTAATAAGCAGACATGAAAAGACAGCATCAAGAAACTGGCAAAGTAGAGGTAATCCATCCCTTTTTATATTGGCTCTGGTTTGCTATGTCACAATTCCTTTATCCAAGAGAGATGCAGGAACAAAAGAAAGGAAGCCGAGCCCACGTGACCCTGTCCTGGGTCAGAGACCCTTCATTAAAGGCTGATGGGCAATGCCACATGGTGGACAGTGACCACAGGAGGACTCTTTGGTCTGTCACTAAAACCTGATTCCAGGCCGAATCATGAAGGGAATAATTAATTAATTAAAAACAGGCACTGGAAGCAAAAGATAGATAATCTGGCAAGTGGGGAAAAAGGAAGAAAAATACACAGAGGGTGTCTGCTAGTCCTAGAGTGCAGGTGTAGAAACTCCATCACAGCTTCCTTCCTGACAAAGCTATCCCCACGTAAGTGCAAACTGCTGCCCTCGAAGCAACATGGGTTGTCTTGTCTTTTAGCAAAACCACAACTGCAACCCACCATGGACCATGCTGTCCCACTCCAACAAATGCTAACTCATGTTCCTTGGAAGTGCTCTTTGGACTCTGGCATTGAATCTGCACGTGGGTTGTAAGAGGGTCCAGAGATTTGGGACCTCAGCCTTGGCGTGGCCAGAAACTCAGAGTCCCAGCGCCAAGCAACACACACTAAACTAGAGGGAGACCAACAGTCTGGCTCACGACCCCCAAGCTCATCATGAGGCACACACCACCCGGCCTGTTACCAGGTAAAGAAAGCCCCTCTTGATCTTCGGTACCTCCGTGTGTTTCTAAAGAGCTGACTCAAAGCCCTCAAACTCCCCTGCAGTCTTTGAAACATATCACCATCTGACTGCTTCTCATGCCTGGAAACCTGTTTACAGGTACAACCAAGCAGGAAATGACAAAACATCTTTTAGCCAAATAGTCTGTTTAATTAAAAAACTCAACTTTCTAAATTAAATGAAGCATTTCCCTGATACCAAGCTGAAGGATCAATAATCCAGAACTAGGAACAAGTGAACAAATCTCCCATCAGGGAACTTCTCCTCAAAAGGTATTTACATTGGGTTGGCCAAAAAGGTCGTTCAGCTTTTTTTTTTTTAAAACAAAAACCCGAACGAACTTTTCAGCCAACCCAATATAAATTGGGTCATACTTTAAAAAAATAACTTAAAATGGTATATAAAAGATTCCAGTGCACTCTTTTTACATTTCATTATAAACATGATGTGCCAAAATAATAAATTTACTCACTTGTCTTTTAGCTTCTCTCAGTTTTCTTTTGAGGGCTGTCAAAATTCTTTGTACTTCCCATAATCTTTCCTCTTTAGATAAATCCTTTATCCCACCCTGCAGATCTCGATGTAAACAGTTCAAAAGAAACTCCTAGAAAGTAACACACCACACACTGTATAGGATTCCATGTTTTGTCATCTTAAAATAAAACCACATGCTATTTCTAAAAATGCTGAATCAACTACTTTTCAATTATCATTAAAAAAATGACATAATGCACGAATTGTTTTTTCAAGGCTATGACTGAAAAATCATCTTTATTTTTTCTGCCTGAGCATTGGGTTCTAATCCATCAATTTACAATGGTTCCCAGTAGTCAATTCACATCCCTTCCCCCAACACATCAACTACTAAGAAATGGGAGCTCAGAGCAGACAAAAGGGAAGAAAGGCAAGCAGGGATTTGATAACTTGTATGCAAACAAAAGATGTAATAATTATCAAATATAAGTAAACGCCTTAGCCTTGAATTTCTTATTGAGCTTGCCAAACACACACAACCAAATGGCACTGTTTCAGTAGCACAGTGGGAAAACAAAGGATTTGGGGTCAAATCCTGGCTCTTCAGCTTAGTAACAAGGTGACACAGCATAAGTTATTTAACTTCTCCAAATTTCATTATTCTTATCTGTAAAATAAGGCCAGTAAAGCAGCCTTGTCCAGATAAGCTAACATTTTTGGACTGCTTACAACATACCTGGCACCATGGTGAACATCTTTAACACATTATTTCATTTAAGGTAATCTTCACATCAAACCTAGGAGAGGACTCATTTTTAAATGCAATCCCCAAGGCTTAAGGAGGTTAAGCAACATGCCTAATTAGGAGCAGAGCAAGAATTTAAAGCCAGGTCTTTTGATTTCCAAACATGTGCTCTGTCCACTATGGTGTTCTGCCTTAACTGGCATGAAATAGTGCCAGATGGGAAGTTCTGGCTTCAGTGTGCCATGAAGAGTGTGCCTGACACAGCTCCAGACACACAGGAAGTGTTCAAGGAACAGGAGGCCATCATTCTCAGCACTGCAGTCTCCCATGGGGTCAGAACGAGGGTTGGCTCTGGAGGCTGGGAGGGCGGCTGCACACACCTGTCTTCTGATCTCCTCCTTGATGCTCTCCTGGGTCTCGGGCAGTGTGGGCATCGTGGCCATGTTAGACCATCGCAGAGGTTTCGTCACTTGCTTCAGTGTCACATTTCCGAAGAGCTCTTGCACGTGTGTGAAAAACACATATAGGACACGATTGCTAATCTAAAAAAAGAAAAGATTTGCAAGAAAAACATTAAAATTATCATTTCATTTCATTTGTGTCTGTTGCCTAAGTGCATCCTCAGTAGTGACTAGACATGTTTTGCTAATTAGTGGCCAATTTAAAGAAGAGAATGAGAAAGTATGAGTTAAGTCATGGACTCAGCACTATGAGGAATTGTGGGGAAAAAGCCAAGAAATGGATGCAGAGGCAGATGATCATCAATCTGTCCTGTTTTAGCACCATAACATTAATTGATTTTTTTAAATCTTATGTTCTTTATTTTCAAGTTACTGTGATACATTTTAACACATGCAACTGGATCTACTAAGGAACAAAGGAGCCTGCAGCTGCAGAGCTGGGCTGAGTGTGGTAGCCCCTGCTCCAGAGACGAATGCTTCTGGGCAGACTCCAGAGCCCATGTTTAAATAGCTGCTCCAATGCTAAGAGACCAGGACGTTACACTGGCTAAAAAGCTAATAAAAGAAATTATTTCCTACCTAAAACTTATTCTGACAACACACCTGAATCTTCTGTGACACCAACATCCCTACTACAGTTATATTAAGTAACAATGTAATAGTTACCAAATTCTGAAAACTTGACTAATATGAAATTTGAGAAACATTTTGCTTCCAAAATATAATCAACGAGCAATGAAGGAATCTTCAGTGAAAGAAAATACACTCTTATATGTAACAGTGTGTTATAACAGTGACCAATAATAACCTGGTATATTGGCTAAAAAGGCTTAAAATAAAAACTATAACCCCATCTCATGTTTTGCCCTTTGTTTTTGGCCTGAGTGAAATATCAGTAACTCCAATTACAGGAAAACACATGCTCTACGCAAGCACCAAGTGAGCAGCAGAAAACGAAGGCCAGAAATTTATGCTGTAAAGAGACACCAACTAACACACCACCCACCTCTCTGAAATGCCTCCTCAGATTAAGATTCTGTAAAATACTCTATATACACCTCTTCATGAAGTCCTCAGGTCAAATCTCTGACCAAATGAATAATGTTAGAGCCCCTTGAGCCTGAGTCTGTATGTGTGTGTGATATGACTAAGCAGTAATGCTATTTGATGAAGTAACTGAAATCCTTAAAACACTGCAGATGAACTGTAACTGCAGGTACCTCGGGCTCCTCTTCCACTAAGGACAGATCACTGTCATCAGGAACTGCTTACAAACCACACCAAAGACTGGACAATATTCAAATTTCACAGCCGCAGCTAAAAGGCCAACATGCTCATTACCTTACATGCCAACACTGTCCGCACTGTGAAAGAAAGAGGCCAACATTCAGGCTAACCCCTTACCCACCGTCCCTGGTTCACTGCTTGGTATGTGACTCAGCAACAGGAAACCCTCCCTGCATCCCCAGGGCCGGCCGTGTACCTGGACAGTCGGGCTGAGCACTATAGAAATATTCTGGATGTTCATTTTTGTTTCCAGCTCCTTGGCAATAACGTGGTCCATGTGCATGATCAGCCAGGAGATCAGCAGACGGTTACACTCGGGCAGCTCCTCCAGCAGGCGCTGGAACTCCTGCACCTTCTCGCCCTCTGAGCTCCGCCCACAAGCCTCTTCAAAGCGGGGCAGCAGCTCCTTGGTCAGCAGGTTCTCTGGCAGGTCCCGCAGGTATTGCTTCAGCAAACTGGCTACAGTGTTAGGCTCATACTCTTCCAAGTTTGGAGACTCCTCTCTGTCATAGGCTGCTTTCAGCTCATCCACCTTGGATTTAATTCCTTAGAACATTCGAGTTCAAAAGAGAAAGAAAGTATCAAGAAAAAAAAAAAAAAATCAAACACAGAGCTTTCTTCTCCAGTGTGCCTACCCCTGGGGGAGATCAGAGAAGGGCCATCCTGACCGTATGAAGTGTTAATCTGCACGCGGTTCATACAATTCCTCCATTAAAGCAGATAGAAGACTACACTTAGAGGATGAATTTAACCAAAAGCTAAATGATAATGGACAAACTCAATACTCAAAACAAAAGTCAAAGTAACCACAGAAACATCAAGCAAATATGCCAATCGATTCAGGGAAAAAAAATTGTTTTTTATTTAAAGATAGGTAGGTAAAAATTAAACTACAATCCAAGCATATGCCTTGTTCTACCTGAGCGGCCAACTGCTTTTCCTAACTAGTCACAAGACTGACAACATAAAATACAACTCAGTACATACAAGCACGTTGCAAAAAGCTGTGGGTGACTACTCTTTTATAAGTAAAAATTGTATCATAAATGCAAAAGGTGAGTTCACTATCTAAACAAACTCTTTGAAAATTATTCATTACATAATACCCATCTAATTTCTAAGTTTAAGTTCTTTACATGTTTTCTTAATCTGAAACAGGGTTACAATAAAAGAAAAGTGAAATTTTGGGTTACTAAAATCGAATTGTTTTGCTTTTCTTACTGGACAGAAACACACACAAATGTTTTTCAGACACTAAGTATTTTAGATTTTTAGTCCAATGTGCATTTAAGTGACATAATTCAGTGACACTGATTGCTCATGAGAACACAAGGTAGCTTTCTGTTGTTTTCAATACTTAAAACTTTAGGCCAAGATGTGGTACTATACACAACAGAATACTATTCAGCTATAAAAAAGAATGAAATCCTGCCATTTGCAATAGCATGGATGGACCTAGAGGGTGTTACGCTACGTGAAATAAGTCAGAAAAAGACAAAATACTTCATATGTGGAATCTAAACAAATAAAACAAACTATATTTTGAATATAACAAAAAAGAAACAGACTCACAGATATAGAGGACAAACTAGTGGTTACCAGAGGGGAAAGGGCAGGGGTGAGGGGCAAGTGAGGGGTAGGAGATTAAGAGGTACAAACTACCATGTATAAAATAAATAAGCTACAAGGATATATTGTACAGCACAGGGAATATAGCCAATATTTTACAACTATAAATGGAGTATAACCTTTAAAAATATTGAATCACTATGCTGTATCCCTGAAACTTATATAATTTTGTACATCAACTATACTTCAATTTAAAAGAAACTTGAGGCCAATTGCTGGAAAGCCACAAACTAAGGCTGACAGATTGTAATGGTAAACACAAACACCCGAGAGTCACCTAGTCTGAGCAGCATTTTACAATCAATAGTGCTTACATCTGGGCTCTGACATTCCTTATGTGAAAACCATTCAATGCCATCACAATAAATCAGTAACTTAATCTAGCACTGACAAAATGAAATCAACAACTCCAAAGAGGAAAATAATAATATGAATCTTATTTTTGTGTAATCTTTATTTTGAGGCGGAAAAGTTAGAAAATAATTCCTTTTTTTTTTTTACTTTTATGAGTAAAACATGGTGTGTGATAATTTTAATTGAAATTCTTGACCAAGACCTCCTCTCTCTCTCACATACATTTTATAGATTTGTAATTTTCCCCCAACAGTGCCTGCCCAGAAAATTGCACAAGTGAAAAGTGCACAAATTTCCAGGTACAGAAAGAGCATATGCAAAATCATATGCAAAATCATAGAGCATATGCAAAATCATAGATGGAACTTATATATGGATAAGTGAGAATCAAGAGTTCTCCACCTGAAAACAATACTGTTAGCATTCAAAAAGAAAAGTCACAGCCATAAACTCTGTAGTCCAGAGTGCTGAATGCAGCATTCTGCCAGAGCTTCAAAAATAAATACAGGGGCTTCCCTGGTGGCGCAATGGTTGAGAGTCCGCCTGCCGATGCGGGGGACACGGGTTCATGCCCCAGTCCGGGAGGATCCCACGTGCCGCGGAATGGCTGGGCCCGTGAGCCTTGGCTGCTGGGCCCGCGCGTCCAGAGCCTGTGCTCCACAACGGGAGAGGCCACAACAGTGAGAGGCCCGCATACCGCCTGAGCCTGCGCGTCCGGAGCCTGTGCTCTGCAGCGGGAAAGGCCACAACGGTGCGAGGGGCCCCCAAACACCAAAAAAAAAAAAAAAAATTGATCAAAGCCGAAGCTTGGCCTCCAAAGAGCCAACAACCAGGGGAGCAGCTCAGTTTGAACACTCTGACACGTCAATTCAGAGAAGAAGTCCCACACCTCCGACTCCAAAAGAATGCAAACATCAAAAATAGGTCAAAGACAAAAGAATCCTTTGAACAAAGCTGTAGGAACTCTTCAGAGAAACTCACCTAAAACAAAATTTCTTCACACCTATCAAAATCACGTGAGAGAAGCAACTATGTTAGTACTGTGTAGATCTTTAAAAATCCATCATAAATTTTTCTTAAAAGGCAAGTTTCAAATTCATTTAAATGTGTTCATTTTTATGTAACTAAGGACTTATAAATTCAAATTCAGTGCCTAATTCATTTATCTTATTTTCTATAAAATAGTAGCATTTTAGCCAAAACACTCTTAAATGATAACATGTTACCTGTGGGATTATGTAAAGGTCTCCCCAATTATCAAACATGCTGGCCCTTTCTTAACAAAGCTTAAATATCAAATCCACCTTCTAGAAATGTGCATGAACCAATTAAATGGAAAAAGTAAATCTAGTCTCTTTATTCTAAATGTGTATGATTTAACTCATCATGAAATATGCAAGAGCAACAGTGAATATTATAGCCTCAAGGTCCAGGACCAAGACACTGAACCACAGGAACGTGATGACAACAGCACGGATGCCACACAGGTCAGGACTTGCATCCTACAACAACACAAAGCCACCCTGCCCTGTAAGAAATAGAGTTTTCTACTTTAGACAGCATGCATTTTCCTTGATTTTAGACACCCAATATGAATTACTTTCCTGCCAGTATGAAATGTAAGTTTTCATACACACGGAAAGTAGAGAAATGGAACCTCAACTTCACTAATGCACATAAGAGCCGCGCCTGGACACAGAGGTATCCACATCTAAACATTTTAGCAAGAACCTAAACATTTAGCAAGAACATTGTGCATCCCTCAGCTGAACTCAGGAAATACTTAAACGACTGTCAGTAACTGTGTCTTGTGGCCAAGAAGCGTCCTGAACCCGGATGTCCTTCCTCCCCGCTGACCACCCTCCAACGCCCAGCCTCACGGAGGCACCCAGGTGAGGGGCAACACACACACACACACACACACACACACACACACAGCGTGGGGGTCTTTGTTCAACTGGAAGGATCAAGGAAATGAATGAGGTTTAGGACCCATGTCACAATTTTCCTCACAAGTGAGTATTTGTTCCCTTCCTTTGAAAAGTGGAACTGAAGCTAACCTTTAAAAACCAGTACATGTGGCGCGAGCCCCATACCTGACACTCTGTAGATGCCTTCACACTTCATGCCATGCTTCTCCACATAATCCACACACTCCCGGAAGACGGCCGGCAGCCGAACGCCATCGTACATCATGGTTCTCTCCACTGCATCAGCCAGAGGAATCCCAAAGATGGGTTTGAGATTCGGGACATCTATCTGAGGCACCTCTGGCTCCTGAATTGGCTTCTTCTTTTTCTTCTTTTCCTTCCACTGTTTAACCACGTCAGCTGCTGTCAAGTCTTTTGACTTTTTCTCTTTATGTTTTTCCTCTTTGTGTTTTTCTTCTTTATGTTTTTCCTCTTTGGGTTTCTCTTTTATTTTAAAATCCTTCTCTTTCTTTTTAGAAAAGCTGGGCTTCTTGAAAACATGGATCCCCTTGGACCTCTTCATTTTGGAAGGACTTTCGGCTTCATCTCCAGAGCTATCTTCCTGAAAGGCGGCATAGCCTTCAGCTGCCAAAGAAATGCAGGGAGCATGAGTCAGATGTCTGCTGAATGTCAAACTGTCCATTTTCAATGTCTGAAAACAGGACAAAGAAGCGCCACCTGGCCCTAGCTACCTAGTTTTTCACCCCACAGCCAAGCCCTCCTGGTACTCTCAGCAATTCATTCAATGGCTTCCCAGCCAAAACGAGGCATTGCCATGACGTCTCCTGACCACAAGAGGGCGACAAGCAGACAGCCAGTTACCCTTGAAACTGGTATTTTATACACACGTGCAATTGGAATTTTTGCAAACCAAATTATTATAAATAATCATTTATTATCTTAATTTATGTATTATCTACACAGAGGGCTAATGGAGAGAATCCCTATATAATGCACAGCATTCTTTCATCAGCTGAATAAGGGCCTCTAACTTACACTCTACTTAGCTTAGGTTTCTTCATATTTGGTTCCTATAATGTGAAGCAATCTCGAATCATGACACGAAATGCACTCCTGTTCAGACGCTCCCGTCATCCCCATCACACTTTGCTCTCCTGTCTCCAGCTGTTAAGTTCTTTCTGCAGATGGCAGCTGGGACTGAAGCCTCATTTGGGGAGAAGAGAACCAGGAAACTCCCTAATCTCGGGATGGTGGCCACTTCCCTGCGTCAGAAGCCCTGGTTTCATACTGATAACTGCTTAGTATCAATATTAGAATTATCCTAGTTTGGTTTCACTGTTGTTTTTTATTTTAACATCTAAAACTCTCCTTTTCTTTAGCCAACTACCTCACAAGCTATTTTATAACAAAAATTAAAGGTATTGCATACGTTTCCCTCTAGTTAAAGTACCGATACCACAAACCCCACACCAACTAGAATGGCAAAAGTCTTAAGGGCATAATACCATGACAGAAAGCAACTGGAGTTCTCAGACACCACTGGTGGGAGTGTCAACTGGTACAACCACTCTGGAAATTGTTTTGCAGGATCTACAGATACTGAAATGAGCATGGCCTGTGAGCAATTCTACTCCCAGGCACACACACAACAGAAATGCATAAACTTGGACAATGACGTTCACAGAAGCACGATTCATAACACACACTGAAGACAACCCAAATGACCAATAACAGTAGAATGGAAAAATAAATTCTAGTATATTAGTGCAAAATCCAGCAATAGAAATGAACAAATTACTGCCATATGGAATAACACGGATGAATCTAACAAACATAACACTGGGCAAAAGAAACTACCCACAAAAGGAAATCTACGGGCTTCCCTGGTGGCGCAGTGGTTGCGAGTCCGCCTGCCAATGCAGAGGACGCAGGTTCGTGCCCCGGTCCGGGAAGATCCCACATGCTGCGGAGCGGCTGGGCCCGTGAGCCATGGCCGCGGAGCCTGTGCTCCGCAACGGGAGAGACCACAACAGTGAGAGGCCCGCGTACCGCAAAAAAAAAAAAAAAAAGGAAATCTACTTCCATGTACAAAAGTCCAAAATCAGGCAGTGTCCAGATGTGCTGGGCATCCCCTCTGAAGGGGCAACAGGCAATTTCTAGGATGCTGATAATGCTCTATTTCCAGAGCCTTGTACAATCAGTAATTAGCACAGGTGTATACGTTTGTGATAATTCATCAAGTCGTACACAATTTGTGCATTCTATCCAAATGTTATCCTTCAAATACAAATTAACTTAAAAATACCGTGAAACTAAAATCACACTTACTTAAAATAACTCACCTGATTTGCTTTTAACATGCTAAAAAGCTATGTCTAAACGATTCAACCTTACAGAACAGGAATCATAAATGGAATGCATGGTGGCATTTGCTTAAGAAAACAAATACATACTTTTTTCACCATGTACCCCAACTGGCCTACACAACCTCACCAAGAAGAGTAAGACTGTATAAGGACAAAATTTCAATATATACTTTTCATACTTTTTAAAATTTAAGAAACCTCCACCAGAAAACTTCACCATTTCTGGAAATTCAGTATTTTTATTTGTGAGAATAACACCCTAAAATACAAAAACTGAGATGCAGAAAAATAAAGAAAATATAAAACAAGAGTCTCTGGATATATTTCTACAAGATAGCAGGTACACATAATTAGAGTAGAAATTGATCTAAACTTTAGCTACAGCACAGAGAAAATGGCACTTACTCCTTTTTTCCTTTTTCTTAAATTTTCCTTTTTTCTTCCCATGGTCCTTCTCATCATCAGACACTATATCGGGAGGCTCGTGGAGGCTGTCATGGGGAGGCGAGGGCTCGCCCGTGCGGTACAATCCAGGAAACTTAGTGGGGCTGATCTCCTCAGAGCTGGGGGTGCGGGTGAGCCCACTGCCATGCTCCACCCTGCGGTGCTCACCCGGGCTGCTGGTGGGGGGCAGGAAGCACTCTGTCATGCTGCCTCCCTGACGACAGTGAGGAGGGCGTCTGTTACCTGCCCATCACCCCTGCAGAGAGAAAGAGCACATCACAGTCACCCAACGACCACCAAGACACAAGGGCGCCAGACACACACACAAAACAGCAACTAATCTTGCATTTACAAATCAAAAATATTTTTCTTCACAACCCCCCTTTAAAAATAGTGGTTCATTTTGCCATCTCAAGTTACATTCGTGCACCACACATTTCGGTTCTCAAAGAGTTGGTTGAAAGCACTGGATCTTCAAGTGTGAAAAAAATGAACCAAATGAAAGTAGGTTCTCAAAGTAGGACACAGAGTTTCCTCTAAAACAGAACCCACCATTGTAATAGGCTTCATTTTGGATTGCTATCCAACATAAAATCCTAATTATTTTTAAGTTATAGCCAAACAACCATCAATAATAAATTAAGAAGACTATTAATATAACTTACACATGAAGAGTTCAGTATCAAAATTTACAAAACAATTAAAGTGATATATACAGATCATTAGCCATAGTTCTATACTGCATTGGACAATTCATATGTGGATAACAGCTATTTTATCTTGGACTGGAATTATGTTGAAAGAAACAATGGAGCCCTCATTTGCTCAGTCCTAAAGTACACACACACTAGTTTCGCTAGAATGGACACTACAAAGGACAAATGCGGATAAACAACAAGGTCCTACTGTACAGCACAGGTAACTGTATTCAACATCCTGTGATAAACCATAATGGAAAAGCATATGAAAAAGAATGTATATATATATGTATAACTGAGTCACTTTGCTCTACAGCAGAAATTAACACAACATTGTAAATCAACTATACTTCAATAAAAAATAAATTAAAAAAAAGAAATAATAAAAAAACCCAAAGGACAAATGTAAGGAAAGTTCAAGATTTGTTTGCATTTTTTTCTTCATTAGACAGATGGTACACAGTACTGTGTTTAAAAGTTACTTGGATTAGTTCTTATTCCTCTTTAATGCCTTCATGATATTAATTTGAGAAACTATTAGAATCACTTGTTTCTCTTTGCACTCACTTCTAAGGTGATTTTGCAATTTTAAAAATCCACAAACACAAGTGATAAGACTGCTATTTCTGACCATAAACAAAGTCAAAAGACAAACAAATGTGAAAAAAAATGTGTAAATTATGAGAGCTAATTTCTCTAAAAAGCAAAGAGTTCTCACAAATCAATGAAAATCTCAACAAATCAAGACACCTACACAAAGAATGTGAAGCAGTTCATAGAAAAATGACTAATATCCACATGAAAATAATGTTCAAGTACAATTACAATTTTAAAAACAAAATAAGTTACCATTTTTCTAACATCAGACTGGCAAAGAACAAAAAAGGTGATTAATACCAAGTGTTGGTAAGGATGTGATCAAACATTTGGGAGAATATCCACTGACGGCTGAAGTGTAAACTAGCACAATCTTTTTTGAAAACCAATTTGGCAATATCTATCAAAATTTTATTTTTTGATATATTTATTTATTTATTTATTTATTTTGGGCTGTGCTGGGTCTTCGTTGCTGCGTGCGGGCTTTCTCTAGTTGTGGCGAGTGGGGGCTACTCTTCGTTGTGGTGTGTATGTTTCTCATTGCGGTGGCTTCTCGTTGCAGAGCATGGGCTCTAGGTGCGTGGGCTCAGTCGTTGTGGCTCGTGGGCTCTAGAGCATTGTGGCGCATGGGCTTCGTTGCTCCGCAGCATGTGGGATCTTCCCAGACCAGGGCTCGAACCCGTGTCCCCTGAATTGGCAGGCAGATTCTTAACCACTGCGCCACCAGGGAAGTCTCTATCAAAATTTTAAATGTGCTCTCTTTGATCCAAGAATTCCTCTTTCTAGGAACTTATCCTTCAGATATACTTTTACAAGAATTCAAAGATGTGTACATGAAAATACGCATTTTAGCACTGTGACAGCAAAAACAACATAATCTAAACGGCTATCAATGGAAGATCAGTTAAATTGATTGATCCAAATAATGGAATATAAACTCACACACATGCAATTTCTGAAATAGTTAACAACTGTTTTAACTCTTGGAAGTTGTAAAAGGGGTGGGGGAGAGAACGATTTCTTTATTTTATCCTTTCTACATATTTTGAGCCTTACCATGCCCATCTATTACTTGTATTACTATTATTGGGTTTTTTTTAAAACGAACAGGCCACTTTTTTTAGTCTCATAAAAATTGTGTTTTTGACAATATTTAATAGTGTGGGGAAAGCAATTTTATTTATAGCACAATATCAATTTTTAAATAAACATATGCAAAAAACTGTAAGAACAAGGGAACTTTAAAAATAATTATCTGTGAATTATAAGATTATAGGTGATCTTTTTACTCTTCTGCATTTCATAAGTTTTATACCCAGTATACATTACTGCTTGTCTAATCAGGAAAAACATTAAACAGGAAAAATTCCATCAAAGGAGCTGTAAGCATCACTGTAATTTTTTAGGTTTTCTTCATAGGCCCTGACTTTGGCTTTTTTTTTTTTTTTTTTTCAGTACGCGGGCCTCTCTCTGTTGTGGCCTCTCCCATTGCAGAGCACAGGCTCCGGGCGCGCAGGCTCAGCGGCCATGGCTCACGGGTCCAGCCGCT